ATTAAAAGGGGAAAGAAATATTTTAAAAGCATTAAATATAATTGATAAGTTAACAAACCTGTTGTAATAAAAGTGGCGGATACCTAAAATGTCCTTAAGCTGTGCAAAAAACCTCAAAAAGCAGAAGACCCAATAAACAGAAAATATGCCTAAATATCCAAGGATGATAGCTTTAGAAAGAGTAATGTGGTGTAAGGGATGCTCGTGAAGAGCTTCCTTGGCAAGATCACATGGTTTAGTTCCAGACTCTACTGCATCCATCCCACACTTGGCATTACGGAGACCATTCCAATCAACATATAATAAGAAAAATGCTGAGAAACATATGGTAAAGCCAAGACTCAGAAGCTCTACTATCCACTTTGTTATGATGCACCAAAGCCCTTTGTCACAGTAATAGCTATAGAGCCTTTCAAAGAATAGGTCCAAGTCAGCTATTGGTTCCACATTTAAACGCTCCCCACTAAGAAGCCCAGTAGGGCTCTCACTACCAGGACTTGGCTCTCTTCCAAAGAAGGATAGTTCAATCTCTGGTGGCACATCCTTAAGCAAAGCAGATGTTAAAGATGATTCACCACGGGCTTTCCATCTAAAAATTCCAACATTATCTGTACCCTTTCTTCCACTGAGCATCATTCAGTAAGATGGACAGTGGGCAGATACAGCATGTCCATTCCCTGAAAAACAAATGATAGTTTATCTCATGGTTTAGGGTTGTGCAAGCCACGGAAGAAGTTAAAAGAGATAGCAAAGAGAAATGTTTGAGCTACCAATGGTCAAAATAAGTAAGTACAAAAGAAGGTAGCCTATAGAGGTAATTATACATCAAAAATCAACCACCATTTTGTATTGGTGGTCAACAGTAACTTAAGTAAAGGGGTCGTGGACGCACTTCTCAAGCTTGATAGAATAAAGCAACGAAAATCTCCAATAAGAAGTTAGGAACTGACAAAGTAAATACATTTAACTTCACATAGTAAGTATAGCCATTAACATGATACTTTATCTATAAAAAAAACTGCCACATCAAGAACCCTTAAACAAGCAATCAAATTAGAGTTCATACAGTCTGAACATCTAGAAATATTTTAAGAAACAAGCAGGGGAAAGATCTTTAGGATGAAGTCCTCAGACAACTTAATCTTAAATCATTCACCAATTACATAATTCATCCTCCAAGAATTCACTCCATTTGAATTCAACAAAGTCCAAAATGGAAGATTTTCATAGAATAAGATGTATTTTGTAGAGGGGTTTTCCACAACATGCAACAAATAGGTCGTGCGCAGGAATTAACATATCATATGCAGAAGCAAAAAATATAAGAAAGTTCAGAGCAACACATTTAAATGCAAACCTATTAATGTGTTGCCTGCAGATGCAAAATGATATCATTCATAGTACATAGTCAAACTTCTGTTTCTTACCTTTGCTGCAGATGCAAAATGAGCATGCTTAGACAGAAGTTTAAAAAAATAAATAAATAAAAGGAAGGGAAAACCACTGCGCAAAGCTGCTAGAGATTAATGAAAATATCGCTCCTTACCCAAGAGTGTGGTAACCAGTCTTTTAATTTCCTCCTTTACATAATTAGTAACCATATAGTTCAACTTGGAGGACAATAATATAGAGGGTTAAGAGATGAGTTCTTTTATTTTATATTTTTTTATGAAGAGGGTCAAGAAATAAGTTGGTTATTATAAAAAATGATTTTATAAGTAAATGTAAGCACATGAAAGTTTTCTGGATAGATGGTGGATGGGTAGTAGAACCTCTATTTGGTTCTCGTAGATGGCATTGAGACTACAAATTTAGAGGATAACAGGACTCTTCAAGGATAGAGGTCAGCTAATCTCCAGCGCCTAGTACAAAACAATATAGACTTGGATAGCACATTGGTGGTTCTTGGCTCAACTATTTGTAGAACATTTGCTCAACCTTATTTTCATTCATCATGACACTATAACTTATACCAATGCACCATCTAATAAAGTCTGAAATCGAATAGCTCAATATTTGAGAATTAAAACTGGTAGTGTCAAACTGGATGCCATGTCTTGTAAGGCATGTCTTAAATTGACAAGCTAATTTTCTTCTGGATAGGATTTAAAATGATAAAACTTCAGGAAAGCAAGCGATGGAAGTACAAAAGAACGTGAACGGTTAAGAAAACAAAAGAAAGCGTTGAGAGTCTGAATATAGGCATATTCATTTATTTAAATTACTCGTCTTGAGAAAGGGTGAGGAGGGGGAAGAACCCAGCTGATCATGCAACATGAATCATATGCCATAATCGGTTAAGTCAGAAATTCTCGGACGAAGAACCAGAACAAAAGGTATGTATGTATGTATATATATATATATGAATCATCAATAACAATTCCAAATATGGTATTTTCAGTTGCCGACTACAAATTCCAAAAGAAGCTAGCTCGAATAACATTCAAACTCCAATGAATATCAAACGACACACACAAACTAATGATCATCAGGAAAAATCAAGAGGAAGCAACAAGCAACTAGGTTTGGTGTGAGCTTGAGGCTTACCTTCAAAAAAGCATCAATGAAGGGGACAAAGCAGATGGAGAGAACACAAACCCAAGTCGAAATTACTACTTTGGATGATAGGGAGAGACAAATATCGGCCAAAGAACAGCGGTGAATCAAAGAATTCAAATGACGACAAATAGCTCGAAGGCAATCCGTATAAACACAAGCGAAATTTGAGAAGTCGAAGGTAGAGGGAGTAATCAAAGAAGACGGAGGAAGAAAATCAAAGGGGCGTTTTGATTGTGGGTTGCGTGTAAGAAAAGAGGATTTTTTACAGAATTAATCTGCTGTAGCCTGCAGGAGTTGGACTAAGTCGAGAGTTTTGTGTGTGTCAACAATATAGCTCGAAATAAGAAACAATATGAGAGTCCCAGAAGAAACGTGAACTTGGGTAATTTCCTTACCCTCTCCTCTTCTCTCCTCTTCTCAGGAGCCTTAATCGAGCAGACTGCTATCTGCCCCTCTTTTTCTACCAAGCTTCCAATTCCACAATTTGTAAAAAGATTCAATTTTTATAAATCTCTATATACAATTCAAAGAGATAATAGCTTTTAATCTTCATAATTCTAAAAACTATTATTTACCCATGTGAAAAAAGTTTATTTTTAATTGAAAATTTTTGTACTTTTGTTCATACGTGTTGTGTTGTTGGTTATAATATTAATAAGAGAATTGAAAAATCAGTTCTTATTTTTTTTTTACTTTTGTTGGTATTTATTTACGTGATCAAAATTAATGAAAGTTTTTTTTAAAAAAAAAATTACATTATTTTGAGTGAAGGAGAACCCAATCTTGGTATTGTATAGGATGAGAGAATCAGATTCTCCATTTTTTTTAATGGTACTTGTGGAAAATAATTCCTTAAAAAACTAGACAATTAAAAGTTGAAAAAATAATAATTTCGAATTAATCTTTGGATATTGGAGCTCGTATGAAGCAGGGTAAAAGATTGGGCTAGTGGGCTTTGGCCCGGAACGGACAGTGCTTCAGGCCCACGATCCGCATTTGAATTGTTCCAGCCTTGGGCTTCCCGCTGGCCCCATTCTATCTATTATCTGTGTCTTTTTTTTTTTCCTTAATTTTACCTAGCGGGTCATATGGGAAGTGATATTTCACAAATGTCCGATATTTGAAAATCTATATTATTAGGTTTAAAATCAGTTTTTTTAATCTCCAAAATTACTCTCAATCAATCTATGTAATTTTGATGTTTATGTAACTATCAAATTTAAGTTTCCCAACTAGTCCATTATGTTTGTTTAAATGACTTAATTTCCCAAAGAAATTATATGGGAAAGGAGATTGTACCAAATTTGAATAGTGTATATTTAATATACCAATCACAAACATCTCATGTTGATACAGTATGATAAATATATACCTGTCAAATAGATTATATAATATATATCTTGTATTGTTATATATTAAACTATTATGTTACATAATAAATACCTATGTTCGATTAATCGATCGAACATAGCATGCTTCATAATATATGTCATCTACATTGGACTTGGGATATTGGAGATGACATATATTATTGAGAATTAAACTTTGAAGCACAACTCATAATATTAGGTATCTCACAACAAGTATTGATGTTTTTCGTGACGAAAAAAGGGTCAGGAAAGACCTTAAAAACGTATGGAAAATCTTTCTTAATTTACTATCATTAATTTGAGTTTGCGTTACATTATATTGTCATGTAAACTAATAATTTTTCCATGTTTATTGTTTATAAAATTATTTTGGTATTGATGAATGTACTGAACAAAATAAAATTTTGACAAGGCACAACATTGATCATTAAGAAAACCTCTCAAAGTTCACAATTTTTTTCTTTTAAAGGTTTTTAACTTTTTTTCGTGGTTGATCTCATCATCAATTTGTACAGAACATAAATTTTAACGCATTGAACACACTAAAAATATATATTTTTTCAATGATTGGTTAAACAAAAGTATACTCGAAGCAAAAATTTACCACACTTATTAATGTTTGTCTAAAGCCTAATTTCCGACGAAATATATTCTACGAAATTCATGGACAAAGCAAAGATAGAATTTATTTTCCTCGTTGATTTTACCTGAGAGAGAGTAAAAATTAAAATTACTTAGTTGTTTCTATTTTAGAAAAATCTTTAACATAGTACAAAGGGCCCCATTGCAACTGCAAATCAAACATATTGGTACTATGGTCTACTGTTTCTCTTCTTTTCCAGCGTCGGTATTGGTCTGTTACTCTATCGGTGATGAATAAACGACTTCCCTTCTCGTGGGCGTCCAAGATGTCTCTTCGTTGGCTGCAACTGAACAAAATTAAAAGGCAAGATACATTTGGGCTGAGATGAACGGAAAAAAAGGGAACGAGAAGGAATGTATATGATTATACAAGAGCACGAATATTTGTGGGAGGATACCTAAAATTTTGTGCCACGAGCATAATTGATATATATTTCTAGCAATAAAATTAATTAGTTAAAGATTAGTTTACTTAATCTAATCGAATTAAATAGTTTGACCCTATTCATAATTGATTTCTTTTTCAATTTTAAAAGTGTGTTTTTTTACCAAATTTTTTATATGTTTTTCATCTTTCTTCATATTTGGTCACATTTTAAAATAAAAAATTATTTTTTTTTCTGTTTTCAAAAATTGGTTTAGATTTTGGAAATATTTTTAAAAAATTTGATAACAAACAAAAGATTATCTAGATAGATAAAGTAGTTGTAAGCTCAATTTTAAAAAATAAAATGGTTATGGAAATTTGAGAATTTGTTTTTTGGATTAGAAAATAATTTGCCTGATTAGAGAGAATTTAAACACCATGATTCAAGATCTTTAAATTTAATGCACCAAATAATTATTAAAATCAATTGAAAGTAAAATATGCATAATCTGTTTAATGCAATAAATAAGCTTTTTTTTTTTTTTTTTCGAAAACATTATAAGTATTAGTATTTTACATAATGCAATAGAAAAGAATAAAAATTCCAGGGTGGCAGGTCCACGCTGAACATGACCACGTAACGTTGTTTGGATTCACGTTCCCCAAGATCCAAGGGAATCTCGTGCTAGTATTCTTTCAGCGGACAATCAGGCTAGACTAACCCTGTTTCCAAACAAGCCTACAAAATTTCGCGGGAAGCAACGTTCGCTCGGGCTGGCTTAGAGGTACAGTCCGAGTAAGTATGCTCGGGTCTGGCGCAAGTGTTGTTTTAGCGGATGGTCCGGCTATACTAACCCCGCTCCCAAACAACACAAGACATTTTCGCGGGAACGAACGGCATGTTTTGGCGGGAGACCCACGTGGCAAGCCTACACAGCGGCGCCAGCTCGTCATTCCCGCCAAAATACACACCATATATAAAGTCCTCAGAATTTGTACCCTAAATCACCTAGGGTTCTTTCTCCTTTCCCTTCTTCCACACGGATTTATCTTACAATCTGTAACAATGGACGCTTCAGAGACAACTTCTTCCTCATCCATACGGTTCCGGTCGAAGAAAACTTTTCATTCAAACTCTAAATCCCTACTTCCGGATCAACAATCTGTGAGTTCCATGACGCCAGAGAAGCCAGCTGAGCTATCTACCAGAACTCGGAACCGTAAAGTTGCTCTATCGATCAAAGAGGTCCGGAAAGCTGCGGAGAGCGTCCGTGAATCTAATAAGCAGCAGCCCCCTGATCGGACTGGAATGAGGAAATCGGTCAGAAGGCAGATAGATTCGTGGCCGGATGTGACCCCAGCCAATAGATCTAAGTCTGCCATCGATAAGCCAATGGAAATACCCGAGAAGTAAGTCTTCTTTGTTAGTTTGGTTGCTCTGCCCTAGATCTACTTTGAACTGTTGGTGAATGAGTATTGTTACTTTGGTGTTTGCAGATTTCAGATTCTGAGTTTGTTTTTCGATAGCTTGGACCGTGCAATGCGGTTGTTGCGGTTGAGAGGTTTAGCGTCCAATTTCTCTAATATATGCCCCAAGATAGAATACCTCACCGATAGGTAATTCTTCTGGCTTCTACGTTGCCTCTTCTCTCCATTATGGGATATTGTTGTCAATTTTGTCTTGAATCTACAGATTAATACAGAGTTTATAAGTTCCTTTAATAGATCTGTTTGTCTCAAATGATAATTAATTATGAACATCAAAGAATGTGGGCCTTGGTCAAACTGTATGATCCTTTTTGTGAAGTGAAATTATTTTAGTCCGGGTTTTCTCCTTTCCTGAAACTCTAGGAAGTCGAGCCACATAATATTGGCGAATCCTGTTGACTGTTTGCGGATCATTCTAGTTTACAACTACATGGTTTTTTTTTTTTTTTTTTTTGTATTTACTTCTGAGGCTTCTTTTATGACCTTTCGGAGAGCAATGTATAGACCTTGTGTTGTGTTTTCTGATTGCGAATTTGATGTCTTCGAGTGCAGGAGGTTTTCATATGGTCATTTGGCTCAATTGAAGTTTATTTTACCTGAAGCAATAGAACTTAAGAAGGTCCATGTCTTTGATGAGCGGACCAGTTGTATGAAGCCAGATCTTCACATATCTTTCAATTTGGGCGTGCTAGATAATCAAGAAAGCCTTGAAACTGGAAGTCAGAATTTGAATTTGAGAAAGTTGTTTTGCACACGGCTTTCAGAATTCGTGAGTTCTCATCCAGAGGTATACATCATTTGCTTTGATTTCAAATGCAGTATTTATTCGTATTTGTGGTCATTGTTCCCCACCTTAAAGAACACTATTTTTTTCAGTTATCCTCAATTTGAGCTTGGAAACTGTTTGTCACATAGACCTAAATATCTACGCAACCTTGTGTATTCTGCACTAGCACTTAGATGGGGTCAAAGGATCCCCAATCAATTGCCGGACCTGGGGAATGAATCCCAGAATGTTAGTTCTCTCTATGAAAATTGGTCCCAAATGTGGAAACATGGTGATCCCTTAGTATTATCTCTTAATATTATGGTCAGTACAGAATTGTCTTTTTAAAAAATGCATTAATGCTTTCTGGATGTTGCTTTTAACGAATTGTATAGTGTAGCAATAAAGTTGGTGATAGGCCACTGACTTCAAAGTTTATAGTTATCGTTTGTATCATGGCCATTCAAAATCGCTTGATTTCTATTTCTATTCTGAAGTCGCAAATATTTTATGATCTAAGAAGCCATGTTTCTGTATGTAGATTGACGAAGTTCCAAAGGGTTTGCTGCCGGAGCCATTCAATCGCTCAAGCCAAGATCTTTTCCGGAAAACCAACTCTCTATCTCCTGTCGAGACAGCTCCTGAACAACCAGCAATATCATCAACAAATGACGCGGAGGGAATTCCCTTTAACCATTCCGAAGAAAGTCTAGGTTTCCGTATAGTTAAATCTACGGTGCCCAGGACTGTTGTTGACCCGAGTAAACAGAAGAATTTAATTGGGGCATCTCATTTTTCACAATCATTTAGCCGGCGTTTCTCTCAAAAAGTTGTTAGCAGAGAAGTGGAGAAAACTGACCAAGCTACAAGGCCTTGTGCCCAAAATCCATCTCATTCTGATGCTGAGACTAATATCAAGACGGAGTTTTGTAATGCAGTACCTTCTTCTAAGCCTCTCTCCCCAGTTAAACTACCTTCCAACTCAACCTGTGATTCCAATTATTTTGAAAACTATGCTTCTCCAATTCGTGTTTCAGCACCGCCCCTTCCCTCAACTCCTATTGATATGGCAGTCAGAGGTACCTCGACAAATGAAGATTACCCATCTGCAAAAACTAACGATATTGATTCAACTCCTGCAAAACTTGTTTCAACACCAGTTCGGCTGATGGCTATCACGCCTGCAATGCCTCCACCAAAAAGAAGTTCTAGGAGTCCTCATGATGATTCTTCTTGGTCAGCAAACAAGTTGATTAGGCGACCACCCCGTTCCAGATCACTTATATTTGACACTCCCACAAAGGAAGATAAAAATGAGGATGAAATAGATGATGGTACAAGCAGCACATCACTTGACGATGATATTTTAGATATTCTACCTCAGAGTCTTCTGCAATCGGTATGACCATTATCTGCTTTATATATATGCAATTTTCTCTTTGTTTGTGCTGACTGAAACTACCATTTAAGACTCTTGTAATCTGTTATGATATTTTCAGAATTTAGTTTATAAAATGTTAGTTTGTGGATGAAGCTACTCATTTGGTGGTCAGCATGGCTATGTATGTTTGCTGCAGTCTTAGGGATTGAATGTTAAGAATTTCTCGTGTTCTCAATTTGCAGATCAGAGAGAAAGAAAGGAAGGTAAAAGAAGAACAAACACCAGCAATATCACAAGCTAAGAGACGACGGAAGATGATTGCCAACCTGCCCAAACTCTTCAATGCTATTTATTTCTTATTCCACAAGCGTACAGTTATTACAAAGGAAGAGCTAATATTCAAAATAATCTCTGGCAATGTGGATATCGTCGACAGAAGTAAGCAAACAATGCATCTATCATACATAGATTCGAATTTGTTTTAGCACTTATCTGAAGCTGATTGATTTCACTTGTTATATACTCACAGGAGAAATTGAAGAGCAGCTAGCTTTGTTGCTTGAACTAGTTCCCGAATGGATTTCTGAGAAGTTGGCATCTAGTGGGGATTCACTACTGTGGTGAGCGTTGTTTACACTCTTAATACTTTATATAGTTTTGGAAAAGCAAAAACTTCTCTCCTGCAAAAACTCGAATCGCCATTACATACATATAGAAGATTTCCCATCAGGGTGTTACTTAAATCCTGTCTGGTTTGTTGTTGCAGCATCGATAGATTGTCAAGTGCTGAAATGGTACGTGCTCGGCTTGAAGAAGCCAAGTGAAGAAAGTAGCTTCGAAGCTGAAAACTTTATATAGTCCACCATTGTTTCAGTATCTAATCCCGTAGTGGTACCCAATTCAAATGGGAAGCCAAAGCCTCTATAATGCAAATTAACCAAAAGCGAAGAATACAAAGTTCTAATTGAAATAGCACCTTTTGTTTTTAGGTAAATATGCCCTTGACAATGACCATCTGTGTCACCTTGTTCTGTCTCTCTGTGCAAATTTAAACTACCAAAATTTCCAATGGTGTTCAAAGTTGATGCTTCTAATAAAATGTCATGGAACAATAACAAAACTTCCTTTGACGATTATAGGAGCTAGTCTTTATCATCTTTGAATCATTTGTAGCATTACAATTCAAATACCAAACTTTTTAATGCATTTGGAAGCACAACTCTTGTCTATGACAGAAGCTGAGAGTGTTTTGTGTAAATAAGTAAAAACCCAAGAGCCAAGGCAAGATGTCATATTCATTGCTACCCAGAGAAGCAGAAACTTCTTGTAATAATCGCTCCCTTCTGTCTCATCCATTTTCGAGCAAAGAAAACAGATATCCATGGTTGAAGTACAAGACCTATGGATAAACATTAATAAATATGATTTTAAACGTGAAATGTAGCACAGCCAGTCACAACTCAGATGAAGAATCCAATGGAGTTTTGGAAGCTTGCTCCCGTTAATATCTACGAACAAGAAGATGGGACAAGAGAGAACCAAGATTCTTAGTACAAAAACCAGCTGAATGGAAGGTTGGTGAGTATTTACTATTGGTGAGAGTGAAAATGAGGAGGCAAATAGTAGAATTTAGAACACCCCAGCACCCTTCTGTGGGCAAAAACAACTGGGGTGGAGCTTCTCCTTTGCTAGCCAGAAACATACCCCATGAGACTCTAGAACTGAGGTACCTCAACCTCAATTCCTCTCGTACTCGAGACGAAATCTTTCCTCTGCAAGGCGATGACGACGATTCCAGCTACTACTTGCCCGTCTCGTACACACCTCGACTGCAGCGTCTTGAAAAGTCGGAGAATATGAAAAGGAGTTCATTTTTGTCAAAGTTATCCTTGCCCTGGAGAGGGAAGAAAACATTTTTGGGCTCCAACTCAAGGAAGAAATGGTTCACGAGATGGGATTATCAGAACAGGTGGCCTCAGGGCTGGTGCTGATTATGTATCTCAGTTGTTCTGCAGTCGTATATGTCATATATTCCATACAAACAACTGAAAAAGTCATGTGTGTAAGAAAGCTAATGTGTCAATTGAATATAGACTTCATTGTTGTTACATAAGGCGAAATCATTGAGCCACTATTTTCATTCTGTTCAATGACAACTCACAAATATATTGTGCAGACCAACAGCTTGGAGAAGAGATAAAATGGAAGAGGAGACTAATGAACTTTAATTTATGAAAAGAGATGAGATTCTCGTGGTTGTGGATCCACCCTCTAATTGGTTACATTGGTCATTGAAAAATTAAGTCTATTGATCATTTGACTCAATGCAATCACTAGAAATAATATTTTGAATTTTAATTTCTTTAGAATTCTTAACCTTATAAACAAATGAAAGGGGATCAAACTAAAAATAATACATGTATTAACCTGATGTGGATATATATTTGGTGGGCGAAAAATAGATAGGAAATGATATTATAGAATTAGAACATATCACCTCATACTCTATATCATGTGTGAGAATATCCCCAAAAATATAATTACTCTCTACACGACTCATGTGGACCTTGATGTGATATTTATAGAATAGTAATTGTACAATTAGTAAGGAATTTGCAAGAAAGACCTTAACTTACTGGTTACAAAATCAACCAAACAACCAAAATAGATGATTCTATTAAGAGAATCAAAGTATTCAAGACAACCTTGCTACTGTTAGTATTTATTTAGATGGTGCGTTAAGGTATCTATAAAGGGCTAAATTTACGGTAACTCGTAAGCTATTTAACATGGTATCAGAGCAGGAGGTTCTGTGTTTGAACCTCTGGTTTAAGTACCAAAATCACAAAATATTGAAAATTAGATTTAAACATTTTTAATAGTTGTATCAAAATTTGTGATAATTTTATTCTTGGTTAGGAAGAGAAGTGGGAAGGAGATTTGAGAGAATTATGAACCAGGAACACAACCTTTTTATTTTGAAATTCTTTAAAATAATATATTTATTAGTTAAATATTGAAAAGCCTCTAAAAAATCTATTATTTTTTGTCTAAGGTTTTCAAAAAAACACTTTTTATCCCAAGTTTTTAAAAAATAAACGAAAAAGATACATATTTGTATATCAACAAGTCTCAAAAACCTCTAAAAAGTGTATTGTCTTTTATCAAAGGTATAAAATGTTTTTTTATCGAAGATTATGTTGAGAATGACTAATATGTCCTTACAAAACTTAGTCTTCTAGCTATTTTTAATATTGATAAAATTAGAATATGCTATTTTTAATTTTACTATTTTTTAAAAACCACCAAAAATAGTATACTGTTTCTATATAAATAAATACTTGTTTTTGTTTGAAAAGACACAGAGAAAATCCTTCTGAGCATGTTTATCGATTCCATTCGACCCGGCGAGTGCACGCCTGGATTCGAAGTTATGTTAACCTTGGGGAGCGATCGGCAAATATACGATGTAGCACCATGGTCGTGCCGTAATTGCTTTCAGGGTAGTGGCTTCATCCACGACACAACAAAATAATCGTTTTT